GCCAGTGTCATTTATTGAACTTTGGTTATAGATTATTATGAAGACTCCCTAGCTTTTTTCCATAACAACCAACCCAGCCATTTTAAGGGATCATACAGAAAACAGCAACTAAAGCAACAATACGATTATAGGAATAAAAAATGTTTCAGAGTCGTCAATTCAATCTCTGACATAATAGTATCTGGCTTTTGAGAGTTGACCCTCCACTTCAAAGATACATTATACAGAAAGTCTTGCAAAAAAGATTAGGTGAACTTTCTTAAAACTGATGTAAAATCACTTAACCCTTTATAGCAATGTCTTAACTTATGTAGCAAACATTAAAGCTTGTGACAGTATTTAAAAAATCATCTTTGTTTCCATTTGCTCCATGTTTTTTTTTTTTTTTTTAAATCAACATACATAAAATAAGTATTTAAAAAGACAGGTTACATTTATTTAGGGAAGAATAAAAGCAAAAAAACAAAAGATGCCTACTGTTTATGCTGGTAGTTCTTAACTCAGTCCAGAAAAAACCTCAGGCACTAAAATGGCTCTACCAAAACTACTGGGTACCACATAAAAGATGAGTTTAATAAATTCAAATAGCAGCACATGTATTATGTTGGTGATCACACATAGGCACAGACAGGTAGAATGGGACGGAACAAGCAGAGCCAAAGAAATTAAAAACAGATCCTTTCTCTCATTCCTAAAACCATGCAAAGCAGAACAGTCCAGTCAATATAAAAAGACAGATGCTAAAAGAATCTGAAGAAAACAAATGAAAACGCAGAAAGAGGACTCTGTTGTTGTTGTTTGCCGTCGAGTCGGCCCTGACTCATAGCGACCCCTCCTTGGGTTTCCGAGGCAGTATCACTATGGAAGTAGGATTGCCCAACCTTCCTTCCGAGGAGTGGCTGGAGGGTTTGAACCGCCAGCCTTCTAATCATTAAAAAATAAGAATACCCTTGCAAAAACATGCTAAAGACAAAATGAAACAAAGTGCATTAAGAGTGCTAATGGCATAGTAACCAGCTGCTGGGAAGCCACAGAAACAAAAGGAAAAAGAAGGGAAAGAACATGTTGATTCAAATGAAATACAGTTAAGAAACATGTAAGATACTCAACTTCGGGGAACTTACTGGGTTAATTACTGAATTAAATGAATGCTATACTTCAAGAACAATGCAACAATGTACATTTACTTTTCAAAACATATTACAGAACACAGCCATGGATTTAAAAAAAGAAGTATACAACCAATAATCAAGGTAATAAAACGCTACAGCCTAATAATCCTGAAAGGTAATGCAATACTTGGAAGAATCTTGGTGGTGAACTTTCAGGTTACCAACTGAAGGATGTGGTTTTAAGGTTTTCTAAGAAAATAAGAGATCAGAGTTCTGGTAAGATGGAAGAATAGGCAGAAAGACTGCACAGACCCTCTTCAACAAAGAAAAGAGGAACCAATTAACATAGATACAGAAGATAACCCTGGACCCCTGAGTCTTGAAGGGAAGGATATAGAAGTGGACTAAACTCCAACTAGCAGAAGAATTTGCATGAAAACACCAAAAAAGGAGACACATGGAGCTGTGATCTGTCAGGGATCCTGACGACACAGACAGCTTGCATATTGCTGAGTGGTAGGACCTAAGAATTAACCTAAAAAATCAGCCCTGCTAGCCAGGGACTGCACAGAGGACTTTGGTGGCTGGTGAATAAAAGGGGAAGCAGTGAAGAGGAAGACGAGCTGAGCTGTGGACTTTTATCTGTCCAGAGGGTACAGCCATTTTGAATGTTTACAAGTGGCTTCACCATTTTGGATATTTAAAGCGACAGCATTCTCCCAGATTCCAGGGACTTAAGAACAGCCTCTACTTGCCTGGAAACCCAAGGACATTCTGGACCCAGACGCCTGGAAAGGTGCAACATTCCCCTTATTACTCTTAGAGCCCACACCCTCTTGATGAACGGAGGTACAGCCATCCCTCACTCCCACCAACTTTCTGGGATGGCAGGAATTCCAACCTAGTCTGTGTGCTTGGACAAAGCCTAGGTGCCCTGCCCCAATTTTTGTTTTTTTTCTGTTTTTCAGTTTCTTTGTTTTAGTCTGTTTTAAAACTACTACTATTATTATTATTACTTTAGTCCTTTTTACTATAATTCTTTATTCTTTACCTTCTAGGTTCTAGTTTTCAGCCTTTTTTCCCTGTTTCTGGTTGTTTCTTGTGGTTAACCCCGTTCCTTGTTTTCCTTTTTGCATTTTTCCTATTTTTTTCTTCATTATTCTACTTTTCCACCTTTTTTCTCGTATTGTCCTATCCCCAGATATTGCAGGTTTTTTTCCGCCTACCTCCAATTCCCTTTTTCGGTTACTGTTCCTGTGTGATTACATGGTGTGTTTTTTTGTCCTTGAGCTTTCACTTTATTGATGGTATTCAATGATATTTTTGTCTAACGAACGGAGGAGAAGACAGCAACAGTCCCCATACAACACAACCACACCCATACCTCCTGCAGCTTACTTACTGAGTGATAGCCACAATTTCCTTCTCCACCAAGAAGAACCAATGATAAACTACCACCAAGAAGAACCTGAATCACCCTTGGCTGTTATTCACAGTTAACAGAGATCTAAATACAACAACGCCACGATATCTTGGAGACAAGAGACCATCACAATCCACACAAAGAAGAAACAAGATAAAGTGGTAAGAAACAAGATAAAGTGGTAGAAACAAGGGAGCAGGATACAGACCCAGAACACATCCTGAGGAAGAAGCAGCATTGGAACTCTCTGATAAGGAATTCAAAAGAATGGTATTTAGGTATCTTCAAAGGATTGAGAGACAGAACAAGGAAAACAGACAAAACCCTAGAAGAATTTTTGGAAGAAAATACAAGAACAAAATGACAAAATAAATGAAAACTTAGAAATGATTCTATTATCTACAGATAGAAATCCGGAAGATTAATGCTAAATTGTCAGAAATAGATAATGCATTGAAAGGGCAAAGGAGTAGAACTGATGCAATGGAAGATAGAATTAATGAGATGGAAGACAAATACCTGAATTCTTCTTTGGAAAGGGATCAATCAGAAAAAAGATCAAAACAAAATGAAGAAAGCCTAAGGTTCATGTGGGATACCATAAAAAGGAATAACCTA